TTATAGTTGGATAACTGTATAATAACAATATACTATAATCTGTTGAAGGTATTTTTAAAACTGTAAATAGAACTTTTGGCCAGGCAGAGTAGCTCACGCCTGTAATCCCAGCACTTTGGGAGGCCGAGGTGGGAGGATGGCTTGAGCCCAGGAGATCAAGATCAGTCTGGACAACACGGTGAAACCCTGTCTCTATGGTAAATACAAAGATTTACTGGGCATGGTGGTGCATACCTGCAGTTCCCGCTATTAGGGAGGCTGAGACGGGAAGATCAATTGAGGCTGGGAGGTTGAGGCTGCTGTGAGCTGTGATTGCACCACAGTACTCCAGCCTGGGAGACAGAGTGAGACTCTATCTCAAAAAAAAAAAAAACCGACCAACCAAACAAAAAAACAAAAAAATCAACAACAAAGCTCTACACAACTTCGGCTTAACATAACGCATAAAATACATTGTTATGAGCACATATTGCAGATTATCATGATGTTGAAAACATAAAAAGTTGGTCAGATCATTTACAAAGAAATTTGCAAAGCCAGTAAAGTCACATCTGTTAGCACTTTCTTTAACTACAAAAAGTGAAAAAGAGCATAAAGTAGTTATTTACTTACTAGATGCCAGATCCAATTTTTATGATTTTAGTTTGTTCTGATGTCTCCTACTGGGCTCTCTAAATTAATGGGACTTAAATTTCAGATGAGATCCTTGAGCAAGAAGATGTGACAGTTGTATCAGATGACTGGTTAATGGATTTTATTTATTTTTAATGGTTTATTTAGAAATAATGTTAGACTTACAGAAAAGTTGCAGAAATAGTACAGAGTTCTTACATACTCTTCACCAAGCACCCCCTAATGTTAACAACTTACATGTAACCATAGTACAATGATCAAAACCAGGAAGTTGGCATTGGTGTAATTCTATTAACTAGACTGTAGATTTTACTTAATTTCACTGGTTTTTCCCATTAATGTCTTTTTTGTTGTTGTTGTTCTAGGATCTAATCTAGGTTCCCACGTTGCATTCAGTTGTTATGTCTTCTTCATCTTCTCCAATCTCTGACAGTTCCTCAGTTTTTGTTTTTCACGACCTTCACATTTTTGATAAATACTGTTATTTTGTAGAACTTCTTTCATTTTGGGTTTGTCTAATGTTTTTTCTCATGATTTGATTGAGGCTAAGCATGTTTTGCAAGAAAACTACAGAAGTGATGTTGTATCCTTCTCAATGCATCGTATTAGGGGGTACATGGTGTTGACATGTATTTTTGCTAGTGATATTTTAACTTTGAACCCTTAGCGGTATTCTTCATGGTAAAGTTACTATTCTTCCCTTTATTGTTCATACATATCTTGGGGGAGATACTTTGAGACTGTGGATATACAGTTTCTCCTCAAACTTTCTGCCATTGATTTTTAACATCCATTGGTAGATCTTGTCAGCAACAGTTGTTACTGTGGTGTTTGGCTAATTATGATTTTGTATTTCCCTCATTCCTTCTGCATTTATTAATTGGAATTCTTCTGTAAGGGAGAGATGTCACCTTTCCCTCACTTATTTATTCAATTATTTGTTTATATTAGTGTCTTCTTATGGATCTTTATTTTCTATGGGTTATAATCCAATACTATCATTATTTATTTTGTTGTTCGTATTGTTCCAGCTTTGGCCATTGGAAACTCTTTCAGGTTGGCCTCTACCCTTTTTCAAGCACTTCCTTATATTCTGGGGCCACAGGCTGTTCTTTTTATTTTTCGTTGCACCAGTCCTGGAGTCTACTTCTCCAAGGAGTTCTGGTTCCTTTTATTGGAGAATAGTATTTAAAATAAAAATCTGTATACTCATTATGTTTAGTGGAGTTTTATTGCTCTTAGGGCTTCAATTGACAGAACTAGGAAATATATCAGTATATTATATTTTTTTTGTATATGTATAATATGTGCATACACATATTTTATGTATATATGTATAAACATATATGTGCGCGCACATACACACATACTGATATTTCTTTTTGAGACAGGGCCTCGCTCCGTCACCCAGGCTGGAGTGCCGTGGCGTGATCATAGCTTACTGCAGCCTTGAACTCCTGGGCTTAAGCCATCCTTCCACCTCAGTCTCCCAAGTAGCTGGGACTACAGACATGCACCCATCATGCCCCGCTGATTAAAAAAAAAATTTTTAGTGGAGACGAGGTCCTGCTATTTTGCCTATGCTGGCCTTGAGCTCCTGACCTCAAGTGATCCTCCCGCCTTGGCCTCTCAGAGTGTTGGGATTCCATGCGTGAGCCACAGTACCCTGCCTTTATTTCTATATATGTTTAAAACTGTGGGTTCATATTGACACCTATTCTAATCCAATAC